GCTTTGAAGCGTTTTCATTTAGTACGTCTATAACGTTTTGCACTGGCTGAGGTGAACTATCTTGACCGTTTCTGGTGAACTTGGAGGGGTCAGGAAACAAGGATTGCGTTACATCACTTGGAAACTCTTCAAAATGTTTGGCTGTAAATGAGAGGAGCTTGTCTCTGTTGTGAACACTGTCTTCACTTTCACATTTTGGACTGTTAGCTGGAATAAGTTGCGACGCTTGGCTAAAGGCAAGGTACTGTTTTCGTGGCGCATTCTCAGCTGCCTTGGCCTCAACAACAGTCGGGGATTTAATTGGAAGACATGATGACTGTGGAGTGGTACCTTGTGAGACTACAACACGCGAGGACTCGGCTTGGTAAGACTGGGTACCAGGATGTCCTGTTGTTATGGGTCTACTTGGTAGTCGCCCAAACAGCTCTAGAGCTGAGGATAAATAGGACTTGATTTCTTCTTGAATATTTTCGACATTATTTTCTGGGGTTCTTGCAGGTTCTGGAACGTGGCCAAGGTGTGGCTGAGTTTCGAGTTTGGCAGGGGGCTTCACGTCCTGAAACGTTTGCTTTCCTCTGCCTGAAAAGGGTGGTGGACATCGAGGTGTTAATCTCCTATGCAAATTTTCGGACTTTCGAGACTTTTGTTTGGAGAACATGACAGCTTCACTGGAAATGTTGACACTTGTGTTCTGCATAATTGTGCCCTTTTTGTGCAAAGGTTCTTGGGAATCAGTAAATACTCGATTGCTTGTATTTCGCTCCAGTTCTGCAACAAAACCTTCATTGGCTAAGTGTTCATCGAGTGCTGCTAAGTTCAGTTCACGTCGATTTTGCTGTGGCAAATTGCGATAATCATGTCGTTGTTGATTACAACTGGAATACGGCTGATAATTAGATCTGCGAGCGGGATATGATTCCTGAGGAAATGGCTCTGGGCTTGGGTCTCTGCGTTCGGGGCAGTTGATTGCAAAGTGGCCAGTTTGTCCACAGGTAAAACAGCGTCGCTGTCCCTCTCTTGTCCTTTGGCGAGGAATTTCTTCACGCTGACCTTCATTTCTTCGAGCTAGACCTCGTATGCGAGCATCAAAGTGTCGATCAAGGGACTGAATCTTATCCAGGAGAAGCTCTTTCAGTTCTTGGATGTCGCTTTTCTCGTGTGGTCTGGCAAGAGCGGCAACCGAAGACTGATTAGTGTCATTTTGCGAGACATTAAATCGTACTTTTGGTTCACTTGTTGGATTTCGAAGCTGACTTATCGAAGCACTTAGTTCGGCCAAAATGGTATTATTTTGTTCCATCATATCCATCAACTGCTTATTATCTGAGGGAAAACCTTGTTTGGCTTTTGAAACACTTGGCAATAATAAGGAATTCATTGTCTGCGTTAAGTTGGTAA